TACCATTTGCAATTAAATAAATAATTTGATTTATATTCATTTTTGTTCCTAAAAAAGTAAAATCTAATCTGAATCATATCCGTTTTCCCCCCACGCAAGTGGGATCCAATCCATATTCATTTTGTCATTAGAAAATGAGATATGACCTTTTTGTACATAAAAAATAATTACATGTGGGTTACATGGTAATTTCAAACTAAAAAGTGGTCGAAAACCTAAATTAAGACTAAAATTTGCTAAATTGAATTTGTAAGGACGTAAAGTTAACGTTTTAAAATGAAAGACAAAAAAATTTATTTTATACAAGAGTCGATTGATTGAATTAAACATTCAGGGGTGTGATGTGAGAGATTTTTTGAGAGATTTATTGGAATCAACAGTTATCCTAAGGGTAAATTGCTTCTAACCCCTCTAATTTTATGTAATGCCAAATGAATCCCCTAAATTTTCAAAATAGCCACATAACTCTCTTATGATTTTATGTAAAGTAAAAAAAAGAATGGAATGCACAATCAGTTATAGCATTTATATCAAATGCACTCTAAAAGCGCGTGCAATAGAATCTTGATATCTATGTAACTCCTTTATAATTTATATAAATATCTACTGCTGCACATTGCAGAATTCTTTGGTTGTGACTCCTCATGATGGTATCATATATTGCACTACTGGCATTTTGGATGATCTGAACAGCAATTCGTTGCTAAAGCGGAAAAGCAGAGGATCTATTACTTATAAAGCAAACTTTGCAAAATGGTATGTAAAAAAATTTCTTATGCAAATATTGTAGGTTGAAGTCAAGGTTGTGTGTGATAAAATGTCATTGTAGGCATGGGATCACATTGTGCTTCGAGGGAGAACCATTTCTTAGTGGACATCTGTTTACTGTGCAGAACTATCTTCTGGGATGTAGGAATGAAAAGCCAAAAGGTTGGTGAATCATTTAGCTACGTTTCAGATTTGGCTTTACGTTTGTACTTGTTTTAGGCTTACTGAAGTACCTTAAAGGAACTTGCAAAGCACAAATTTTGTAGTCTAAAATCTCAATCTATGGGTTAAGTAAAGGCTATTAGCCTGTATGCATCTTTCAAAACTTACTGCAATAAAGAGAATTTGGAACCCTGCTTCTTGGTTCTCTTTTTCCCTTTATGTTGCTACAATTATGCATAACAAATTGCTCAAAGTTACAATTTCTTATGGTTGGTGACCATTTTCTTTTTTTTCCTTTACAATCCTTGTAGGCTCGAGAAAGGCATCAGTTGAGTTGCCTCCAGAACTTTGTAAAGTGATGATGTCTCCTATATCCATTGGTTCAGTATCTTCCTTCGCATATGCTCCATCCATCATACAACGGATAGAGTCCTTGTTAATAGCTGGCAACTTGAAAAGGATGCTAATGGACGACTGCAAGCTCAATGATATGATTCCGACGATCAAGGTTTATCCTCCAACTATGGCTTAGAAAGTATACTATGATGGTCTCTCATTTTATTTTATTTTTTTTCTTGTGTGCTTGTCAAATTAGGACTAGTGAAAGACTTGCATTGAGATCCTTCCATGCTTGAACAAAGAAAGGTTTTCTGTCATGCAATGAACAAGCTGAGTTGGTTAGAGCTTTACATCATATAATAATGAGGGTTTAAGCCCCATTTCGTCCCCTTTTAACTGGAGAAGACTAATAACAATAGCAAAGGGATTCCTATAACTTAATCATAGTAAAACACAACTGTGTTGCAAGATTGCTTCAATGTGATTCAAAAAATAGTACTATGGTTATTTTTTTGTACTGGATATAGATTCATAAATCCTCTTAACTAGTTACACGCGGATAGGCATAAGCTCATTTTAGAAAACTGCTACCAAATACAGCTGTTAGAATGAAATGTCAAAAGGTTTGATCTTATAGGTAGAATCTATATTGCATTACAGCAGGCCTTTTAATTTTAACCATAAGCTACGCACAGCCTAGCTTGTCAAAGGTAACAGAACAAGATGAGGTTATTTGTCCATCAAACCTACATAAATATTTCAGTGTACTAGCATTAGTTGTAAGCTAAAGCAAGCTGGTAGATACTTTAAAACCTGAAGTCCAGTTTGAATGTCTCAATCTTTATGAAAAGCATTCTTACCAGCTTTTTTTTCTTTTTTCTTCATTGGCTTGTTTGCAAAGGACCCAAAGTTGAAAGTAGTAGCTAGGAGTTGCCTCATAAATATTTTGAAACTAACATATGCACATTTACGTCTATATTTTTTGTTTTGGAGCTAATTTACCGTCCATTTTATAGTCAAATATTCTTGACAAATCTGTTAGACTCGCACTATTGAAGAGAATTTCAACAGATTTCTCTGTGCTAATGTCTTTCTGCTTTTAGGTCTTGGAGGCAATTACGACTGAAAATTGTCAAGAGAATTTTAATTTGAAACTATTGGCAACCCTTGGAGACTCCTTTTTGAAATATGCTGCGAGTCAACAACTATTCAAGAGACATCAAAATCACGACATAGGTCCTCTTACGGTGGACAGGATAAATATTATCTCCAACAAAGCGCTATGCAAGCTAGGATGCCATAAGAAGATACCGGTAACTTTTTTCTTTTTTTAACTTACTGTTTTATTGCAGTGTCCATTATGAACTTTTCGCAAGAGAGACTCTCAGGTAGAGAGGTGTAAACGAAAGTCTAGACAAGGAGGAGAGATGCAGTCTAGGCTGTTGAGAAATTTTAGGTAGACTAGTAATAGTTAACGTGATTTGCACGTGATTATAATATCTTAAAATATATTATTCTTTAGATACTAAAAAATTTTTATGAAATTTTGATCACTAACATCTTAATATAGTATTTTTATATTATTTATTTTTTAAGCTAGTTACTTTTAAAAATTTTATTAAATGAAAAGAGACAGAAAACATTCCAATGTAGTTGACATATCCCTAAAGATTAAATTGGAAATCATGAATCAAACACTTTTTGATTTATAACTTGAACTCTAACATATCAAATATTATCATGTTTTACCAAAATTATTGTATATTCATGATTCTATTGCATATAAATCACAATCATCACAATTTTTATAAACGAAGAATATAATTAAGTTAGGAAAATAAACATACATGTAATTTGAATTCTTTGTATTATGTCAATTCTATTGCTGTCAATAATAGAGTATAAATGATCCACCATGTAAAGTTTTTTTGGTTTATATATTCTAACAACTGAAAATTTATAGATAGAGATAGTTGAAATTTTTCTATTTTCCTTTTCTTTTATTCATGTTTTTAGCACAATACAATGCGAAACAAAAGCAACAATTCTACTTTTTTCATATGAGCACAATATTTTTTATTTTAGTATTATTTTTTTTATGATCATGGAATTGGAATGAGAAGTGTGGCCAATTAATAATTTTAACATTAAGTTTTTGTATATTGCAGTGTTTTAGTTTTTAATTGCTAACTTTTAATCCATAACCGCTATCATTAATATCAATTATTGGAATGCACTAAATCTATCTAATTACAATTGTCACCATAAATGAAATTTAACTAATTTTAAAGTTGTTCATTTCATAACCGCTTCCATTATTCACTAATATTGCAATACAATAAATATATCTAATCATTAGAAAAATAAGGGTATTTTGGACATCACCAAAAACAAATTTGGATATCATTTTGAATTTATCATTCTCCATTTTAAATTTACTCTTATTATAATTCTTATTTTATCGTTGGAAATAGTTTCTGACTTGACGGATGGATTTGGTTTGCTCAAACCAATACAAATGAAGCATTACCATATTATTGTAAATAACAATGTTTGTCTTCTCTTGGATATCAGTCATATGGATGTTGTCTTTGGTATTATTTGAATTGTATTCTAACTTTTTAATTCATTTGCTATTTACTTTATGTCATTTTATAAATAGTTTTCAATTTTTTTTTTCAGTTTCTCTTGTTTCGATCGGTTGCTAATAATGATAACAGTGATTCGTATGGTGCTATTTCAGATTTCTTTTTTCTAGTTTAATACTGCTATATCAGTTATAAAGGTGTCATCATTTTTTGTATATTGAATTTCCATTGGATGTAACATGAAAAATTCTTGATATTGGTAAAAAGTACATAATTGTAAAATTTACTCGCGATATTTGTGTGAAGATATACGGATGAATAAGGATTTTCTTGTCCTTGTTTCTCCATTTTCTAGAGAATATTTATTTTTTGAAATTGATTTTTTTTTAACAATCTCAACTAATGACTAATGAGAAATTTCTCATACTTCAATCAAAAAATTTTGGTACGTATAATAATTTGAGACGGAGTCCAAGGGTAGGTAAATAGTTCTTAATGAGCAATTTTTAATTCTAATTACCAATACTATTAAAATGTAATCAATTGGTGTTTTATTTCTTTTAATTAGTGTCATATTAAAATGCAATTATTCTAATTAAAAGATACAAGGGTAATTTAGGAATAACAAAAACTAAGATAAAAAAGTGCTCACACTTGCACTCCCTAGAACCAACATTCATACTTTTTATATAGTAATGATAATGATAATGATTAAGAAATTGAATAATAACTGCACTTACTTTCAGACTGTCTAAAAGAAAAAGAAACTATATTGAGAACTTGAATAGTTGGGATAGATCAAAAGTGGGGTTGAAGGTTGGAGGCATATTGTAATTGCATCATCAAAATATCACAATTGGTGTATTTAAACTTTTTCATGGAGAGCACCACAAAACAGAGTTATCTTCTTTTAATTTTGGTTTGAAATTTTTGTCCAGCTGAAAACTGTCTTTTCAAAATTTTCCCTGTTTAGACCAGAGAATTGCCAAGTTAGTCAACTCAATTTTTTCTTAGTAGGAGAGGGGTGGAATTTGCGAAGCGGGGAGGGGGAAGACGGGAATTGAACCCAAGGCCTTTAATTCGTGGGTCTCAACCTTAGCTACTACTAGACCAAGACGACCTCAACAGTCAACTCAATTTATTATACATACTTGATCAATTCAGTTTAGTACTTTAGTCTCATGAACTTTCTTCAGCTTACAGTAATATTTGTTTTGCTTTATGACTTGAGTATTGGATTTTGTATTTGGCTACTACATTGATGCATATGATGGTAACTCATCTTTTGATCATCATCGATGGTGTTCTATCTCTGCGTCTTCATGGTTTACTTCATCATTTACTGTATTGAATTGCACTGCTAGTTATTGCCTTGAGTAATATACACAAACTGTTCTATTTGCTCATCTGACTTCAGTTTTAAACTTCAGGGGTTTATCCGCAATGAATGTTTTGATCCTAAAACATGGATCATACCTGGTGATAACTCTCAAACCTACACACTGCGGAAAGAAGTGCTTTCAAATGAAAGAATTGTTTATGACAGGGAGACAAGTAAGACGGTTGCTGATGTAATTGAGGCCCTTATTGGTGTATTCATTTGTACAACAAGTGAAAGAGCAGCCTTAGCGTTTATGAAATGGATGGGCTTTGAAGTTGACTTCATTTATGTTCCGTACAAAAGGCCAGTCCCTGCAAATCCAGAGAAGCTGGTCGATCTGAAATTTTTCAAGAAACTATTGAATCAATACTCATTCCGTGATGCTTCTCTCCTTGTTGAAGCACTTACTCATGGTTCTTACGTGCGACCCGAGAGGCCCACATCCTATAAGGTAATCTTTTCCCATCCTTTTTCTCATGTTGTTATGAAGGTAACCCGTTCTAATTGTTTTTGACGAATTCATGATCTTGTTGGAGATGTCTTCATTGTTTCTGATGTCTTATTATCTCAACTTGATTGTGCATAGGCATGTCATTTCGGTGTGTCAAATGTTCCTGCAAAAGTGTGAAGCACTTAATTCTCGTCTGCTGAAATATCTTTTTGGTTCCTCATCTGGCTTTACCGTTTTCCTCGGTATTGAATTTAGTGGTTCAAGATATATATTGCATCAAATAGAATCTCTTTGATGGGTGTGCTGCTGATGTGTTTGCTTTTTGAAGTTTAGTGCCATATTTCATACTAAAAGTAGTGTCATTAGCTGTATTTTGAGGTGGAGTTGATTAGTTATCTACAGATTTGCTAGATCATTCAAGTCTATTTGAATTACCATTTATATTTTGGAGCCACCAGATGAAATCAGAATTAACTACCACTTTAAGAGGGGAAGTCATAGTATTACTTGTTTAGTTGATCATAGCCCTGGAGATATATGCTTCTCCACACATGACTAATCGATAAGGTGCAAAACTAGATGTTACATGGGAGCGTTTGCTTGTTCTGGTTCTTCAATAGCTAGATTGCTTGCATGATCCTTGTATCATGCACTAGTTTGAATTTGTCAATAGTTCCATACTGCAGATATCACTGGCATGCCTTCTAGTAAAGATATTATTGTGGATCTTTCATGTTTACATATGTTTCCGTTTGAATGGAATTTGCAGCGTCTGAAATTTCTTGGGGATGCGGTGCTGGAGTATCTCATCACCATGCACTTCTACAATAAGCATCCCAATCTGTCTTCTGGATTATTAACAGATTTAAGGTCAGCTTCTGTGAACAATGACCGCTATGCACGAACTGCAATTAAAACTGGGCTTCATAAGCACATTCTACATGATTCACAAGACCTGCAGCGGCGCATTCTCGCAATTGTTAAAAATTTTAAGCAATCATCACAAGACTCGACTTTTGGGTGGGGGTCAGGGCCAGTGATCAAGGTAATCCTCCATCTTTGATGTAAAATAAAAAAACAATCTTTATTATTTTAGCTGTAGAACGGTGTTGCTTATTTTTGATGTTTCTTTTGAGTATTTAGTTGCTAACAACCTCATATTTTTCAGCTTCTTGCAGATATTATAAAATCTCTTGCCGGGGCAATATACGTTGATTCTGGATATGACAAAGAGGTTGTATTTCGAAGCATAAAGCCACTTCTTGAGCCTCTGCCTACCCCTGAGACTTTAAAGCTCCAACCTGTAAGGGAACTGGAGGAATTGTGTGCAAAGGAACACTTCGACCTGAAGGAGGAGGATGGCAAGCTTAAGGTTAATGCAAATGGTGTCATTTATGCTCGCAGACTAAGTGCAGCAAACAAGAAGACAGCAAGAAAAACAGCATCCATGGCTATTCTGGCGAAGCTGAAGAAAAATAAGTTACACCGGGGAGAGCCACATTCAGGGGTGTGATGTGAGAGAGATTTTTTGAGAGGTTTATTGGAATCAACCGTTATCCTAAGGGTAAATTGCTTCTAACCCCTCTAATTTTATGTAATGCCAAATGAATCCCCTAAATTTTCAAAATAGCCACATAACTCTCTTATGATTTTATGTAAAGTAAAAAAAAAAAACGGAATGCACAATCAGTTATAGCATTTATATCAAATGCACTCTGAAAGCACTTGCAATAAAATCTTGATATCTATGTAACTCCTTTATAATTTATATAAATATCTACTTTACCCTCTCGTGATTTTTTTTAGTTATCCACGTAATCCCCGTATACTTTCATGCAAGGGAATTAACCTACTGATTGATTTATCATTTAAGTAAAGACATTATTGGTATTTCAATTGACGACATTACATAGATTATTTTCCGTCAAGATCCCATTTTACATAAAATTATAAGGGATAAAGTGGCCATTTTGAGACGTTAGAGGGTCATGCAACAATAAATGAAACTACAGCGTTACATTTATTATATCTCTACATTTAAACACTTTCTCAAATTAGTTCATTTTTTGCCAAAAAATTAACACATCAAACCCTCTCCACTCATTTGCCAAACCCTTTGATTAAATAATAACAATGAAACACGCAACTATGTAATTACATGGAGCAGTACTTAAGAGCTATGAAAAATCCTAAAATGTGAAAATCTTTATTATTGGCATTGGATTCACAGTTAGGCACGTAGTTACAGCACATGTCATCCGAGAATGTGAAAATCCTCAAAATGTTTGGGAATCTAGACCTCAAACGAACACGGACACTCTCGTACTACCACCGCCTTAGGAAATGGACATGTTGTCCTCTGAAGTTCCTCTCCACTTGCTGAAGTGCCCGACAAAAGCAAAAGTCAAGCTAAAGTCTCTTCCTCTCACTTTCAAGATCAAGACAAAACTCAAAAGGACTCATTAGTGGTATTTTAGCCCCGCTTTAGTATTATTACGTTACTTTCGCTTTATCTTCCTTGCTGCTGAAGCAAAACAAGCCCATAGGTCCTCGTCTTCCCTCCTCCGGTTCTCTGCGATGTGTATGAGATAAAAATATATTTACGAAAAATATAAAAAAAATTTTTTTTTAAAAAAATTACTTTTCAAACAAGGATGTGTATCTGCCAAGGAGATTCAGATCTGTTGGTGTTTATACGTCGCCTTCATGATTTTCGATGATTGTATTTTGTAACAACATTGGTAAATAATACCACTTTGGAACAAAATGTTACTAATTGCAAAGGAAACTTGTTGCAAACCTCAAAAAATTAATGATGACAAAGAAAGAATTTCAGTGGAAAACGTGAGAGTATTATATATTCCACAGAGAAATTTTCTTTTTTGATCGTTTTTTGGTGATTACGATTAAAAAAGAAAAGCAAAACTAAATTAGGCTTAAGAGAACTAATTTGGCAACGTACGTACGATGGTGTTAATAGGAACCATTTTTACTTATTCGGTGAAATTATTCATGACAATATCATCAAATAAACTCTCGAGTTTTAGCCAAATTATTTTGGCAAGTCGAGAATTTATTAAGAAAGGGTTGATTCAGTACAAATTGCAGTTGGAGAAGAGCTCGTCCGCGTTTGACCTAAAAATGGAATCCAGTCATGCTCCTCCAGGAAAAATATCACTGCCCAAAAAAGTGGTCGAGGAACATGGGAGAAAGGCTAATTCCATCTTAAGATTCCCTACTCATTCCACTCAACCCAAGGCTAATTTTTTAATTTAAGGATCTTTTTCCAGCGACTGCTCCAAAGCACTCGTTAGTATATTTAAATTATATATTGAGCTTATCATGTAAATACACACACACCCTCTATTTATTATATACTTGTATTTAAAATACTTTCTTAAATTAATTCAGATTTGTTAAAAAAATTAATACATGAAACCCTCTCAATTGACACGGGACACTGGTTAACCGAATGGTTTGATTAAATAATAATAGAACACAGCCATGCAAACCTGCCTGAGGGATTAGGGGAGGGGGAAGGAAAAAAAAAAAAAAAAAGGTTAGGCACATGGGAATTTTTTTTTTTTTTTTTGGAAAAGAAGGCACATAGTTACATTTCACATTTGGAAAAGTGTCCTGTGAAGTTCCTCTCCACGAGCTGAAGTGCTAGACAAATGCAAAAGTGAAGCTGAAGTCTCCCCCTTTCACTTTCGAGACTTTTTATTAGTGGTATTTCAGTCCCACTGTTTAGTATTACTCTCACGGCATCTTCCTTGCTGCCAAAGCAAAACAAGCCCATAAATCCTTTCATTTCTCCCTCTGGCTCTGATCATTGCGAATTGTGTATCTGCACTGAGGTTTTTGTACTACTGTAAGTAAAGCTTTCCTTATTACCAAGTTTATTAGTTCTTTTGCTTCTCTTAATAATTTGCTGCATGAAAGATATCATATTAGTTAATCAATTTTTCTGCTTTATACTTGTACCCTTTCTTTTGTGTAGTTTCTCTGAGTTTCTAAATTGAATCCTTGTTACTCTATTGAAAGAGGTCTCTGCTTAGTTGTATCAAGGGATATTCATATCTTTATCCTTTAGTCGTATTAAGGGATATTTATATCTTTGTTGTTCTTAGAATAGGGTGTGAAAATAACATATTAGAAATCATGGTGAAAGTTTGATTAGTCCCTTTTACTGTTCAGGCAAGAGCAGTTGTTTTTTATTCTCAATTGTTGAAATCAAATTCTTTTTTACTTAAATTCCGTTCAGGGTTCTGACACAAACTTTTTTTTTTTTTGTTTTTGGAGATAGAGAGGACAAAAGAAGCTAACGGAATTGGTGATTCCGTTTGGATTAGCTATTTTTAAAGGTGTTTTTGAAATATTTTACTGTAGCAGCATTTTTTTAAAATTTTTACCAAAGATGTTTTTTGTGGTGTTTTTGGAATATATTTTGGGGACGTATTTTGTGATGCTTTTTGTGATGTTTTTGAAGGTGTTTTTGAAATTTATTTTCGGGTGCCTTTTAAAAATAAAAAAAAAATTAGAATACTTTTTAAAAATTTTTAGAATATTTGAAAAGCAGGCGAATCCAAACGGAGTTGAGGGCAATGTAGAGGCTCTAGAGCAGTGTAAGTTTTGAGTACCTTTCCTTCTTATTGATTTACCTAATAAAAAGAATAACAGTTCTTTTTTTTTTTTTTCTAGTTTTATGGTTGTTACCATTTTTTTTTCTTTTAATAATTCGCTTCATCTGAATGAATAGGTGATCAAGCACATGATGAGGAACATATGCAGTATGTCCCTTCGGAATTGGTTGGTTGTCCTGGGAATGAGTCTGAGACATTGTATCATTGCTACCAAATTGCTCTTCAGCCTGATTTTAGTTGCAACACCATGCCTCACGATATTTTGCTTGCTACAAGAGCAAGGCTTGAATTTGATGATGAGACTCTGAATTTTGAGTTAGATGTGCCCAGAGGCAGCTTAAAGATACGAATGAAATATGTTAGACGTATTAAACTCGCGTCTGAAGAGGTAAATATCATAAATGACAATGCCAAAGTGATATTTCCTGTAACATATTAAGTGTTAGACAAAGAATTTAGTCCTATTTTGATCATGCGACATCTCTTTTGCCAGGTTGTTCTTTGCCAGAAGTTTCAAGTTACACTTTTAAGGCTGCTCCTTGATCACAATCAGAATAAGCTTAAGGAAGCATTGAGTGGATTAAATCGAAACAGTCAACGTGATGTCTTTGATTATCTTCTGATTCCATCTACAAGCCCGCATGAAAATCCATCAATTGATTGGAAGTGTGTTAGTTCTGTTCTATTTCCTCAGGGAAACATGTCAGATAAGCATATGCATGGTTGTTCTAACAGAGTTCAAGTGCACACAATAAATGGATTGATCTGCCGCTGCACATTGCAGAATTCTTTGGTTGTGACTCCTCATGATGGTTTTATGTATTGCACTACTGGCATTTTGGATGATCCGAACAGCCGGAAAAGAAGAGGATCTATTACTTATAAACCAAACTTTGCAAAACGGTATGTAAAAAAATTTCTTATGCAAATATTGTAGGTTGAAGTCAAGGTTGTGTGTGATAAAATGTCATTGTAGGCATGGGATCACATTGCGTTTTGAGGGAGAACCATTTCTTTGTGGACAGCGTCTGTTTAAGGTGCAGAACTGTCTTCTGGGATGTAGGAATCAAGAGACAAAAGGTTGGTGAATCATTTAGCTACGTTTCAGATTTGGCTTTAAGTTTGTACTTGTTTTAGGCTTACTGAAGTACCTTGAAGGAACTTGCAAAGCACAAATTTTGTAGTCTAAAATCTCAATCTATGGGTTAAGTAAAGGCTATTAGCCTGTATGCATCTTTCAAAACTTACTGCAATAAAGAGAATTTGGAACCCTGCTTCTTGGTTCTCTTTTTCCCTTTATGTTGCTACAATTATGCATAACAAATTGCTCAAAGTTACAATTTCTTATGGTTGGTGACCATTTTCTTTTTTTTCCTTTACAATCCTTGTAGGCTCGAGAAAGGCATCAGTTGAGTTGCCTCCAGAACTTTGTAAAGTGATCATGTCTCCCATATCCATTGGTTCAGTATCTTCCTTCGCATATGCTCCATCCATCATACAACGGATAGAGTCCTTCTTAACAGCTGGCAACTTGAAAAGAATGCTAATGGACGACTGCAAGCTCAATGATATGATTCCGACGATCAAGGTTTATCCTCCAACTATGGCTTAGAAACTATACTAAGATCGTCTCTCATTTTATTTTATTTTATTTTCTTGTGTGCTTGTCATATTAGGACTAGTGAAAAACTTACATTGAGATCCTTCCATGCTTGAGCAAAGAAAGGTTTTCTGTCATGCAATGAACAAGCTGAGTTGGTTAGAGCTTTACATCATATAATAATGAGGGTTTAAGCCTCTTTTCGTCCCCTTTAACTGGAGAAGACTAATAAAAATAGCAAAGGCACGAATCTTTTTTTTTTTTTTTTGGACGATACATAGAAACATTTATTAATATGTTGCAAATGAGTTGCAGAGAACATAGCTCTGTAACATTAGCTATCTATCTGTGAAGGAGTATCTTCATTTCCAATATAAAACCCAATAAAAATTACTAGAAAACAGCTGTTTGGAATTCCTTCATTCCAATACCTGTCCCAATGTCCCTTGTTAAGGATGAAAGGATGACATTCCTGCATGAAGCCACAATATGTCTCACATTATGGACTACAGATTAAGTATAAACATAGGTGAACAAATAATAGCCTAGAATAGTACATAATTCCTTGCTCTGCATTACTCATATACACTTGCAGCTAAATCCAACCTTTTTCTGCAGCGATGTTTCTGCAAAACCATTAATTTGTTACTGCAAAGCATATGAACCTCTATATAAGAAACATAAACTGCACTAGCAAGGGAACAGTTTCACCAAACTTTGATCTGCTTTGCTCATGGCTAGATTATGTAATTGTGGTTGGGGCCCGAAGGGAGAAGAATTTGGTTTCTACACTCTTTTTATTTACTTTATTCTTCACTCAAGCCAAAAAATGAAAAGTTTACTTGTCATTTCCTTTCTTGTTCTCTGTTCCCATCTTCCTATAACTTAATAATAGTAAAACACAACTGTGTTGCAAGCTTGCTTCAATGTGATTCAACAAATAATGCTATGGTTATTTTTTTGTACTGGATATAGATTGATAATTCCTCTAACTAGTTATACACGGATAGGCATAAGCTTATTTTAGAAAACTGCTACCAAAAACAGCTGTTAGAATGAATTGTCAAAGGTTTGATCTTATAGGTAGAATCTATATTGCATTACAGCAGGCTTTTTAATTTTAGCCATAAGCTACGCACAGCCTAGCTTGTCGAAGGTAACAGAACAAGATGAGGTTATTTGTCCATCAAACCTACATAAATATTTGAGTGTACTAGCATTAGTTGTAAGCTAAAGCAAGCTGGCAGATACTTTAAAACCTGAAGTTCAGTTTGAATGTCTCAATCTTTATGAAAAGCATTCTTAGCAGCTTTTTTTTTCTTTTTTCTTCATTGGCTTGTTTGCGAAGGACCAAAGTCGAAACTAGTAGCTAGGAGTTGCCATATGAATATTTTGAAATTGACATACGTACATTTACGTCCATATTGCTCCTTTTGGAACTATTCTACCATGCATTTTGTAGTCAAATATTCCTGACAAATCTGATAAGACTTTCACCATTGAAGAGAATTTCAATAGATTTTCCCCGTGCTAATGTTTTTCTGCTTTTAGGTCTTAGAGGCAATTACGACTAAAAATTGCCGAGAGAATTTTCATTTGACATCATTGGCAACCATTGGAGACTCCTTCTTGAAATATGCTACAAGTCAACAACTATTCAAGACACATCAAAATCACAACAATGGTCTTCTTACTGAGGAGAGAACAAAAATCGTCTCCAACCTCGCACTCTGCAAGCTGGGATGCGATAAGAAGATATCGGTAAAATTTCCTTTTTTAAGTTACTGTTGTATTGTAGTGTCCATTATGAATTTTTCATAAGACAGACTGTCAGGACTCAGGAAGAAAGGTGTAAAGAAAAGTCTACACAAGGAAGAGATATGCAGTCTGGTTTGTGGTGAAATTAAGAAATTGAGTTGAACCGCAATTAATTTCAAGCTGTCTAAAATGAAAAAGGGATTATACTAAGAACTTGAATAGTTTGGATAGATGAAAAGTAGGAGGGAAGGTTGGTGGCATATTGTAGTTGCATCATTACAATATTTAATCTTTTCCACGAGAGTACCACAAAGCAGAGTTATCTACTTTTACTTCGGTTTGAAATATGAGTTCTTCTGAAAACTGGCGTTTCAAGTTTTTCCGGTTTAGATCAGGGTAATAACCGACTTAGTGAACTCAATTTCCTATATGTATTTGATCAATTGAGGTTAGTCCCGTGTAGTTCTTTCAGCTTATAGTAACATTTGTTTTTTGTTCCATGACTTTTGAGTGTCAGATTGTTAATTATCTTTTGAGCATCACCAATAGTGTTCTATCTCCGCCTCTTCATGGTTACATTCGTTATCCACTATATTGACTTGCTCTGCTAGTTATTGCCTTGAGCAATATATACAATCCTTGCTTTTTTTCTCATCTGACTTCAGATTTAAACTTCAGGGGTTTATCCGCAATGAATGTTTTGATCCTAAAACATGGATCATACCTGGTGATAACTCTCAAACCTACACACTGCGGAAAGAAGTGCTTTCAACTAGAATAATTGTTTATGCCAGGGAGAAAAGGACGATTAAAAATAAGACGGTTGCTGATGTAATTGAGGCCCTTATTGGTGTATTCATTTGTACGACAAGTGAAAGAGCAGCCTTAGCGTTTATGAAATGGATGGGTTTTGAAGTTGACTTCGTTTATGTTCAGTACAAAAGGCCAGTCGCTGCAAATCCAGAGAAGCTGGTTGATCTCAGATTTTTCAAGTCTCTATTGAATCAGTACTCATTCCGTGATGCTTCTCTCCTTGTTGAAGCACTTACTCATGGTTCTTACGTGCGACCCGAGAGCCCCACATCCTATGAGGTAATCTTTTCCCTTCCTTTTTCTCATGTTGTTATGAAGGTAACCCGTTCTAATTGTTTTTGACGAATTCATGATCTTGTTGGAGATGCCTTCATTGTTTCCTCATTTTTTTTTTCACAACTTGATTGTGCATAGGCATGTGTTTTTGTTATATCAAACTTTGATTTCCTGGAAAATTGTGAAGCACTTAAATCTCATCTACTGAAATATCTTTTTGGTTGCTCGTCCGGCTTTAGTATTTTTCCTCAGTATTCAGTTTAGTGGTTCAAGATATATATTGCACCAAAAGAGAAGCTGTTTGATGTGTATGTTGATATTATTTGCTTGTAGAGATTAGCTTTTTGAAGTCTAGTGCCATATTTCATACTACAAGTAGTGTTATTAGTTGTACTTTTTAGGTCGAGTTGATTAGTTATTTACAGGTTTACTAGATCATTCGAGTCTATTTGAATTACCATATGTATTTTGGAGCCACCAGATGAAATCAGAATTAGCTACCGCTTTACGGGGGAAAAGTCATATTATTACTCGTTTAGTTGATAATAGCCCTGGAGATATATGCCTTTCCGCACATGATTAAGTGCAAAACTATGTTTGTTGGGAAAATTTACATAGGAGGGGTTTGCATGTTCTGGTTCTTCGATAGCTAGATTGCTTGCATGATCCTTATATCATGCACTAGTTTGAATTTGTCAATAGTTCCATACTGCAGATATCACTGGCATGCCTTCTAGTAAAGATATTATTGCGGATCTTTCATGTCTATGTTTCCATTTCAATGGAATTTGCAGCATCTGGAATTTCTTGGGGATGCGGTGCTGGATTATCTCATCACCAAGCACTTCCACAATGAGCATCCCAATCTGTCTTCTGGATTATTAACAGATTTAAGGTCAGCTTCTGTGAACAATGACTGCTGTGCACGAACTGCAATTAGAGCTGGGCTTCATAAGCACATTCTACATGATTCACAAGACCTGCAGCGGCGCATTCTTGCCATTGCTGAAAATTTTGAGCAGTCATCACGAGACTCGACTTTTGGGTGGGAGTCAGAGCCAGTAATCAAGGTAATCCTCCATCTTTGATGTAAAATAAAAAAACAATCTTTATTATTTTAGCTGTAGCACAGTGTTGCTTATTTTTTATGTTTCTTTTGAGTATTTAGCTGCTAACAACCTCATATTTTTCAGATTCTTGCAGATATTATAAAATCTCTTGCCGGGGCAATATATGTTGATTCTGGATATGACAAAGGGGTTGTATTTCAAAGCATAAAGCCACTTCTTGAGCCTCTGCCTACCCCTGAGACTTTAAAGCTCCAACCTGTGAGGGAACTGGAGGAATTTTGTGCAAAGCAACACTTTGACATGAACAAGTCTGTCACATATGAAAATGGTGAGGTATCCGTCAAGCTTGAAGTTCATGCAAATGGTGCTACTCACATATGTCAGGAATCTGCGGCAAACAAGGATGCAGCAGAAAAAAAAGCATCCCTGGCTATGTTGGAGATGCTAAAGGGAAAATTTGTCAAGGAGGAGGAGGATGGCAAGCTTAAGGCTAATGCAAATGGTGTCCCTTGTGCTCGTAGACCAACTGCTGCAAACAAGAAGACAGCAAGAAAAACAGCATCCATGGATATTCTGTCGAAGCTAAAGAAAAATTAGTTACGCCGGGGAGAGCCACATACAACCCTGCCTGTCTTGTGAAATCAAACAAGTCAGATAGCCTTTTGGCTGGATCATATAAGATACTGATGATGTTTTTATTCCAAAAAAAAAAAAAAAAAAAAACTTGCTTAACATCATGATCATCATCGGAAAGATGATTCAGATTGTCGGTGTTTTTGCCGCCTTCACGGTTTCCATCATTGTAAATATTCTGTAACGGCACTGGTAAATTACACTTTGGAACACATTTTTGCGAGCAAAATCAAGAATTTTGAATTTGACTAATTGCAAAGGAAGCCTCTGAAATTAATGATGACAAAGGATTTCAGTGGAAAACGTGAGAGGCAGAGGGTACTTGTTCCCGGCAGAAGTTTTTTCTTTTTTGGTCGTGTTTTTGGTGGTTATGATTAAAAAAGAAAAGCAAAATTAAATTAGACCCAAGACAGCAACTTTGTGCAACTCGTCCAGGTTTAACCCCAAAGAGCAAAAAACTGCCCAAAAAAGAGTCCAAGAAACCATAAAATTGAGTCTCAATTTACATCAAGTATGAAAATACCAAGCATGAGAAGAGCAACCATTTGCAGTATGGAAAATAAAGGTACAATTGAAATTCGAGAAAGATGTGATGTAAATACATACACTCACACTTATTATACCCCTTCATATAATACACTTTCTCAAATTAATTCATTTTTACTAAAAAAATTAGCACATGAAACCCTCCTCATTAGCCAAACTCTTTGATTCGTATGCATATATAAATGGAGTTTGGATGTTACTTTTAGGAGTAGTTAAGGAATGACAAGTATGATAGTGCAATACGTTAAGCTAATTTACAATTTTGTGACAGGGACTAAAGCAATACGCGAATTGAATCGAATCGAACTTTTCACAATTTGAGTTTGAACTCGAATCCAATACAAGCTCAAAATCTAAACTCAAGATCGTTTCGATTTATTATTCGATGGGTTCAAACTCAATTCAAAGCCTTAAAAATTTATTTAATTCTTCAATTTTAATATTAAATTATTACTAATACTGATATTTTAAATAAAAATATTAAAAATTATTCGAATTGAAACGAGCTTTAATGAGTTGATTAACTATAAGTTCGAACTCCTTTTATATATATATATATATATATATATATCCTTATACTATATAAGAACGAGTTTAGGACTAAATTTCAACTGCAGGGGTGAGGCTATTTTGGGAATATGAGAGTGTTTGAAGAGTAATTGGAACATTAAGTACAAGTCATTATACCTTTAATTTCACTATAATTACTTATATAACCTTTCAGACATTTAAGGTTAGGGGCAGGTTTGGTATATTACAATGTTTAGTGCCAAATTGAGTATCAAGTACAACTGAATAAAGCTTGTATTTTGATAGAATTACATAAAAGTCCTTTTAATCATTTATTATACTAATATCCAAGCCTTCCAATTTTCTGAAACCTTTCTCATCCGTTAAGGAATTAATTGGATGTTTACATAATTGAATTTTAATTACAATTAATTAACTTAATTATTATCTGAACAATCATTATCATATTTATGTCTCCATGTTTAGCCGATACCCTTTCTTCTTTTTCGGTTTCACCTCTTTGATTTTATTATGGCTATTAAATATTTCGTGGAATGCATAGTTTTTCCTTTAAATTGAGGTGAGTTTTTTGGGTTTGTTTTCTTCAATTGTAATTTTTTTTTTCTGATGATTGGTTTATTCAAGAACTCCATATAGTTTGCCTTTTGATACTTCTAATTCCAAAAACTAACTAATTGTATTGTTTTTCTTAGTAGATCCCAGAGATTCTGTCTCCGATCAAAGTACAATTTGAGATAATGTTGTCACTTTCTAAAATAATCAGAAAAGCAATTTTATCATCTTCTCCTCCTCAGCCAAGGTATTATCTCTTTATTTGAGTCAAATAACCTTATTTCTCATGAATTTTCTCCTATTATTCTTGACTCCAGGGATCTGTTGACTACATTCCAGCAGTTATGGTTCAAGTAGTTATTTTTTTATGTAATATGATTTGAAATTCAGCTTGTGTTTATTTTAATTGAGAATTTTATGATTGTAAAATTTATTAACTTAGAATTTTGTACTTCATTGAAACTAAAAAGAAAATTAATCATGCTACATAGTCCTAAGATGTCATATGCACTCTATTTACTTTCCATATTATGATCTCGTTCTTGTATTATACTGTTTATATAGTTTCAAATACAAAAAATTTGCTTTTTTATGCTATCTAAAAAAATTTGTAGTTGAACTTGATGAGTTTAAATGCTTTATCTACAGCACCATTTTGATTGCATTGTATTAATTCATTTACTCATAATTGTATGTTGTACAATGATAAATAATGTTTCTTGATTTGATTGAAACAACTATTATCCATAGTTCAAATGAGTCAATTAAGTAGGGATGTTATATTGGATACTTATACAAGTAAATATTGAAAAATATCATTAAGCAGTTTCTATCTATAGTTTGCAATTCAAATTCATATGAGGAATTTCTTCTGATTTTAGTTACCATTTTCTACAATTTCAAATTTAGAAAATATTATTTGCACTAATTTTTTATAATCAGGATAGTTTCAATTCAGATCTTTAACAATTATGCATATTTGAACTTATTTATGAGATTATAAAGAAATGCCCCTAGCAAAAAATACCAAATCTGAATAGTTTCTACAAAATTTTGAAAAAGACCACTTAAGTTTCTTATCTATCTATCATTTTTTAGTATTATTATCTCTGCAAGAAACATGTGATTAAGTCGTATTATATCCACTAAATTATATAAATAGTTAGTTAAAAATAAAATTATTTTAGATTAGATTGGACACAAAGTGATTGATGGATAAACTTGACTTGATAATTCAAGTTGAGATTAAGTCGAGGGAGAAATCAGAAGCATTGCTTGAGGGATCTTTCACGAACATATATAGATTCAAGAGATGAAGGGTCCAATTGATACTTTAAAATGTTTATCATCTTGGATAAGTTTTAGAAGAGACCTTTGGATACTTTTCAATTGCACTTCAAATATTCTTACATTTTCAAACCACCCTTATCTTTGCAGTTAAAATTCAAACATAACTTTTGATCACAACGGATTCTTATATAGTATAACGATAAGGATGTCTCATTGCACATTATTTTTATTGACTCACTATATAACTTATGATTTTTCTATTAAAATCACATGATAAAATCATCATACGTCAGTTCCTATACTACAAAATATTAAACAATAATTATTAATTATCTTGAATCACAAGCACCAAATTCCCGCGTGTCGCGCGGGCTGTCCCTCTCTAGTATATATATATAGGAATCAGTCAATAAAACTAAATGCACTTAGAAATTGAAACATTTGAAATTGTTTTTGTTTTCTTTCAAATTTTAAGGACTAAAAGCGCTCGTACTCCAAACATTTGAGACCAAAACTGCAATTCTCTTTTGAAACTGCTAAGCATGTATTCTACATCTATATGGCTATGCAATTCAAATATATCAACTATGATATACTTATATCTACTTCTTTTACAAATTCATCCCTCTCATTACCAGTAGTGTAAAATTTATTTTAATAAATATTAAAACGCCAGCGAATAGCGCGGGGGTCAACCCTCGAAAATGACAAGGAAACACAACTATGTAATAATACGAAGCAGTACTTGAGAAATGTGAAAATCCAAAAATGTGTAGTGGTGAAAATCTAATTGGCATTGGATTCACAGTTAGGCACATAGTTACATGTCATCCTCAAACGTGAAAATCCTCAAAGACGTTTGAGAATCTCTTGTAGAATCTAGTAGAGCTCAAAACAACACAAACAATCTCGTACGCTTACAGCCTTAGGAAATGTTCTCTGGAGTTCCTGTCCACCAGCTGAAGTGCAGGACAAACGCAAAATTCGAGCTGAAGTGTGCCCCTCTCACTTTCAACATCAAGACAACAGGACTTATTAGTGATACTTCAGTTCCACTTTAATGTTACTTTAACTGTATCTTCCTTGCTGCCAAAGCAAAGTAAGCCCATATATCCTCATTTCTCCCTGTGATCTGTGCGAATTGTGTGCATCTGCACTGAGGTTTTTGTACTATTGTAAGTAAAGCTTTCCTCATTATCAAGTTTATTAGTTCTTTTGCTTCTCTCAATAATTTGCTGCATGAAAGATATGATGCTAGTTAATCAATTTATGTGCATTGCACTTATAGCTAGTCTCTATCTCTCTCTCTCTCTCTTTTTTGGGGTGCAGTTTCTTTCAGTTTCTAAATTGAATCCTTGTTACTCCATCTAAAGATGAATCTGTTTAGTTTTTCCTTTAGTCTTATTAAGGGATGTATGTGTGTGTGTGTATATATATATATACACATATATATCTTTGTTGTTCATAGAATAAGGTGTGACAATAACATATCAGAAATCATGGTGTAAGTTTGATTAGTCACTTTTACTGTTCAAGCAAAAGCAGCTGTTTTTTATTCTCAATTGTTGAAATCAAATTCTTTTTTACTTAGATTCTGTTCAGGGTTCTGACTAAATAATGCTTTCTTGAAATACAGAGAACAAAAGAAGCTAATGGAATCAATTAATATTGTAGCTGATGACAACGTAGAGGCTCCAGAGCAGTGTAAGTTTTGAGTATCTTTCCTTCTCATTGATTTACACCAATATAAAAAGAAAAAATCGAACTGTTCTTTTTTTTTTTCCTTCTAGTTTTATAGTTGTTACCAATTCCATTTTTTTTTAATAATTGGTTTCATCTGAATGAATAGGTGATCAAGCATATGAGGAGGAACAGATGCAGTATGTCCCTCCGGAATTGGTTGGTCGTCCTGGGAATGATTCTGAGATATTGTATCATTGCTACCTAATTGCTCTTCAGCCTGATTTTAGTTGCAACACCATGCCTCGCGATATTTTGCTTGCTACAAGGGCAAGGCTTGAATTTGATGATGAGACTCTGGATTTTGAGTTAGACGTGCCCAGAGGCAGCTTAAAGATACGAATGAAATATGTTAGACATATTAAACTAACGTCTGAAGAGGTAAATATATAAAATGACAATGCCAAAATAATTATTCCTATCACATATTAACTAAAAAGACAAATAATTCAGTCCTATTTTGATCATGAAACATCTTTATCTTTTGCCAGGTTCTTCTTTGTCAGAAGTTCCAAGTCACACTTTTTAGGCTGCTTATTGATCAAAATCAGAACA